TACACTGTCCAGATTGTTAAATTTCTGTACCTGCTTGATTTTGATGACCCCCACCAATACATAAAATCACATTTTGGACTTTCTGTTTTGCTGACGACCATGCATTCTATTTTCTTACAGTTAATAGTTAGTCCTTTCATCTTGCTTTCTATCACTACCTTGTCTATGAGTCCTTTCAGGTTTTGTGCTCCATCTGCCATCAACACAGTATCATTTGCATATTTGTTAAGATTATATTCACTGATTTACTGAATTTCTTATAGCATTAACTCAGTTTATATATACAGTTTACAACAAATTTTTATGTGCCATTCTTTTCTTTAATCTCAGAATTTTAGAAACATATTTGGAATGCCAAAAGCTGCATTGGTCAAAATATAGTGATCTAAACAACAAAGATGAAGATACTAGTCCAAATAATGCAATAATGAAAAATTACTTTACAAAAAAGTGCTGAACTTGCCTTGTGTCTTTCTTGTATTTTTCTGTTGTTCATACAATATAAGAGCCCTTTAAGGTAGAGGATTACTTATTATTTACACTTAATTGTTAACTGTCATTGTTTCTATACACATTTTCACAATCGTACCAACAAAAAATGGAGTATCAAAAGGATGGTTTTTCCCTTGACATCGTTATTATTTTAACTACCTTCACTTCTTGGCAATGTTTATTGTTTTAAAAAGTGATGATTGGAATTTATAAAACATAAACATATGATGAAAGTGAATTTATACATTTTTTCTGTTCTTGAAAATTTGTAACAAAAATATCAATCACAATTTTTTTTATTAAATTGTTTATTTATAAGAATAATTTTATATTTACAACACTGTAAAAACCAATCCAATTGTATTAAAACTAATGTAATATTTATTGTTTACTAATTTATAAAAAAATAAATGTGAAAAATATATTTTTATTCATAAATTTATAAACACTTACTAAGTTATTAAAATATGTGAACCAAATATAAAGAAATCCTTATTATTTACCATTTTATAAAGTTTGAATTGATTAGCAATTAGCTAATTTTTTGTCAACCATTCCAATAAACAATATAATAAATAAATAGTGTAAATAAACAATCTACTAAATAGTGTTTATTATTTTTGTTGTCAATTCTCAAGAACAAATAAAATATATAAATTCACTTTTATATGTTCAGGTTTTATTAAAATTCTAATCATCACTTTTTAAGACACTAGACATTGCTGAGGAGTGAAGGTAGTTAAAATAATAGCAGTGTCAAGGGGAAAATGTTTTTATGACACTATGTTTTTTGTGGGCCCAAAGGTCCAAGAATGCCCACATTTTCCCCACCTGACACACTTTCATTGTATGTTCATTATCATTTCCGCAGAAAGAACAAGAATCAAATGCATCCTTGTATCTGAGCTCAGTTCTACCAATAAAGTGGTTTGTCGTGTATTGGAGGTCTTGCTCCAATGCACAATAGCTTGGTCTTATGATGTTTTTATAGCATCTGGTATTCATTGCATTAATCTTGGAAGGTTGGTTCTGCTTACACATGTTTGATACATGTACAGATTTCTTTCAGTGGTGATTGCAGCTGCCACTTGTACCTGAATGGGGAGGTTACTAATAAAGGATAAACACATACAAAAGGAAATGAAGACCTATTTATTTTGCACCCCTAGACATAGAGAAATGAATAAATTAATTTTATTCACTCCCCTGACCCATAAAAAATGTGGATATGAAAACTTAGTTCATTTCACTAAAATGCTAGCCATCTTAAACTGAATAACCAGCTTTATAGTGGGTAGGAGTCACCAAATATTAAATGTAAGGGTTCACTTACTTTTGCATATCTTAATTTCTAATTAATATTTTTTATTTCAGCTTCATATAAATTTTGAAAACAGTTGTAATTTGTTTAATAAATGTCTTTCCTAATGAATATATAGTTTAATTAAGATTTGTTGATTATCTGGAAGAAAAAGACAAATTTTTTTAATATTATCTTAGAGGTTCACTTACTTTTGTGCAGCACTGTAGTAACTTCTAATGCTATTTCTTGATTAGTGATTTTGTCATCATCTACTTTTGTGTCCCTTACCTTTCTGAGGTGTGTTTTTTTGACAGTTTTGTTTGGTTACGTTCTTTGCTAAGCCATGATAGAGTTATTTACAGCTCATGAGTTGGGGAAGAAAAGAGAAGGGAAAAATATATTTTGTGTAGCCATCTTTTGTTTGTGTATGTTTTTATTTAAAGGTTTTTTGTTCTGTATTCTATATATATATATATATATATATTCTTCTTTTATTTAGAATTTTCACTTTTCTATAGATATAGGAGTCACCATTTAGTTAATTGATTATCCCTTCAGGTTTCTATAACTAACAGTTCTCAAACAGTATAAGAATAAGATTTTACCAACTGGTAGTAATATCTAACAGTCAGTTAATATACTAGATATCTTATTTGTAGCCTGGAAAAACAACTTGGCAAAGGTAGAGATTGCATTTATATGTACCCATAAGTACAGATATACAATGATAAATACATTAATCATGTGTTGCTTTGGGGTTAATAACATTAAATAGGTCTTTAAAAAATACTATTTTCTATAGCTTTTCTGTGCTATCAAAAACTTCTGTTCAATTTTCAGCTAGTTGAATTGATTTTAGAAATTAGATTGAAGAAATATCTACCCAATGCAATAAGTCTTTTGAGACAAGAAAACTTAAAGTATGAGCTGATTGAAGATATATTTATAATCTGCCTATCCCCTGACAATAATCACAGGTGGTGCAAGATTTGAAAGCCTCTGCCTCTTTCCCTTTTGACTTTGGTAGTAACATGACATACTCTTCTTGCTCTATCAGCATGTAAGTACCTCAGAGACACATGCTTAAGGTTATCTGGAACTCTTCACAACTTCATTTCTCATTTTCCTTTTTCTAACATATCTGTTTAATATGTTTATTAATATTTGTTTTGTTTTAATTCCATTTTTTCTTATTTTTACCTGGATTCACATGAATCTGTCAAATATTGTTTGTGGAACAAACATACCAGGACAAATTTATGGAAAAACGTCCACATCTCACAACAGCGTTGGAGATTCCCACAACACTAGTGAGCATTTTTATAGAGTGATGGCTTGTAACACAAACCATTGCTGTTGATTGAATGTGACCCTGTGTCAATGATGGTTCTGTCTTTGAGAAATGCTTTCATATCATTGAAAAAAATGCTTGTATCGTATCATTTTCAGTTTTATCTTTTTTTTTATAATCTTTAAAAAAACATGTCATATCATAACACCTTTCTTGGGCTGAACACACATTGGTGTCAATAGCATTCTGGTTAACTGCTCTCCAGAAGCATCCTCCATAGATGTTAGAATCTATAATGTTTCTGTTTTACAGACATAGTAACTGAACCTCCATGTCTAACCATCTTTGTACATCTTTAGCTGGCTGAGGATGTACAGGTAGTGTAATAGTTATCAACTAGGAATGAGAAGTCTGCGAACCAAGTTCAAATTCTGGCCTAGTCTGTTACATTCATTTTTCACATAGATAACTTTAGGAAAGGTATGAATCTATCTATTCCACCCTTCTATGGGTTAAATAGTTAATGAGCTCTCTAGCCATGGTTGGCAACCAATCTAGGAGAAGGAAAACTCATCAATGTTTTGGAAGCATTTTTAGCAACATGAAACCTATACACATCATTTACTATTAGATAACTTTCTGAAGAGGGTGCTGAAAGTAGTAATAAGTAAAATTTACATAGCAGCATAAAAGGTGATTCTAAGAGCTTGTCTCTTGCTTGAATTTAATCTTGGAACAAAAGCAGTAGAAGCAGTCTATAAAATATGAACATGTTTATTAAATGTTGCAGTATGGCTTAGCACAAATGGTGTAACTACACATCTGCATTAAAAAAAAAGATACACATTAGAGAAATGGGTTCTGTATGAAGCCAGTGGATAAAATGAATCATATTGAATTGCAATAAACTTGTGACTTCTTTTATGACAAATAAAGGAAACTTTGTTAAATTGTTATTTGAGTTCCAACAAGGAAATGGGTTCTGTACACCAACTGAAAGTAATCACATGCCTGAAATGTAATTCTTTTGTATTGACTTTATATTTTCTAGATCAAAAAAAAAATGCGAAACAAAAACAGATGTACATTTTTGGTAACCTAATACATCGCTCCAGATGTGCTGATAGCATAACAGTTATCAGTACCAAAAGGAGAATTGGTGAACTGAGTCTAACTTCTGGCCGATCATGCTGCATTCACTTTCATACAAATACCCTTGTGAAAGGCATAAATCCATCTTTTCTTCTTGCTATGGATTAATCTTTATCATGCTGTTTGTGACTTCATTTGCTGTACAAAGAGTTTATTCTGCCTCTGAATGTGATTCTGATCTCTGAATTTCATAGATGTGTTGTCATATCATGCTATGGAAACAGAAAACACCTTTGAGTGAAATTAACAATAAGGCTACTGCAGTTGAGAGGCCTTGAAAAAGAATGCAGTAGAAAGGGAAATAATATTAATAATGCAGAGTGCTAAAGGTTAAATAGTAGAGTAGATTGGGCTCTTTAGCATGGAATGGCAGCCAATTTAAAAGAAGGACTACTCTGAATTCAAAACTATGGAGAAGGCAACAGGAAACCACTCCACTATCTTTCTCAAGAAGTCATAGCAAATCACAGATAATAAAGAAAAGGAATGTGTTGAGAGCCATGATCATTTACCTCCTGAAGGCACATGGCAAAAAAGCATTATCTGTTATATCAATCAAAATTCAATTAACTTTTTCTCATAAAACATTAAATATTATTAGACATTGCTTGAAGTATCATTTAGCAATGAAATCTCTTTTACGCCTTCTAAAATTTTAACTTTATGATTTTTTCATCTGTCACAATGTTCTTTTTACTTCTTCATACCTTCTGTGTCTCTTCATTATCATTCTCATGTAGTCTTCTTATGTATTCTATCATGTTGAAACACCAGCTCTCATCTAATCACCAAAGTTAAGCAATGTTGAGCCTGGTCAGTAGATGTGTGACCACTTAGGAATACCAGGTGCTATAAGTTTGGTTGTGTGGGTGGTGTAATGGACAAAAGCTTGGAATTAGAAATTGAAGAACCAAGTTTCAATTCCAGTCAGGTTCATTATATTCACTTACATGTAAATACCATTGAAAAAGGTATGAAGTCACCTCTTCTCCCTTTAGCTATGAATTAAATAGTAAGACTTTTATTAATAAATCATTATTATCTCTCAAAGATTATTACAATCCAAAAATATTTTCTGGCTTTAAATAACCTGCAAATAATTGATAGACCGTCAAAAAACAAATCAATCAATCTTATGTATTCTTCTGCATTATCTTTAACTCTTCCAATGTTTATATTACAAAGTGGTAGACAAGATGCTATAAGATGAACTGCATATTTTATATTAAGAGTAATGGTAAGTGCTTGCTTCCTACTTGTACTCAAGGTTGGTGCTGAAGTCCAGCCAAATGTCAGGATTTTTAATGCAGGTTTTCAAGGCCATACTTCTTTAAAAATTACAATATAATCTTCTTACATTTTTATTTTCAAAACTTCAAAAAGCTTTGTGCTCTAATAAACTAAGCTTAATAAAAGTGAAACAGTAATAAACCATGGCTCAGTTATAAGTGCCTGTCTATAACTAAAAAGGATTAGGGTTCAAATCCTGCTGTATACAGTTTCTGTGATATACAAAATTTCTTTCAATATGTCTAATTTTTTATTTCTAACTTTTTGCTGTATCAGAGTTATTTCCCTTGTATATATTCAGTTATTTGAATTGTACCACTAATATATATATTTAAAGATGTGAAAAACTACTAATAGTAAGGATCTAACAAAATATACTGCAATTTTTAACAGCACAATTAAATAAAAATATCTTTATTTTTTATATTCTGAAACTTTCAGCATCAAATTTTATATTTATTTTCTAAATTAAAACCTGTAGAAGAAATGTCCTAAGATGCCAGAAATGTCCTAAGACGTGACATTATCATGCACTGGGTTCGAAGGAAAACTGTTATTTTAATCCTAATATTATCCTAGGTAAATTTATTATGAATTATGCAGATAATTAATCCCTTCAACAAAATTAGAGTTGTCTCCCTTATCAGCAATTTCACTTTCTGCAGTTTTAACTTTGTGTTGTTAACCCTTGAATTAATCGTCCATGCATTGAATACTGTTGCCATATATGGTCTGGTGCTCCAGCTATTCATCTCAAGGTTCTTGACAAAATCCAAAGATGGATATGCAATATGATAGGTCCTTACCTCGCATCTCAGCTCCAGTCACTTTCTCACTGACGTAATGTGGCTTCTCTCTGTCTTTTCTATAAATATTTTCATGGCATCTGCTCTGATGAGCTATTTTCACTGGTGCCCTGATTGCATGAATTTAAGCGTGCTACTAGTGTGACACTATTAAGAAGGTGCTGGTAAATTGAGAAAAATGGTTTAAAAAATAAACTGGAAAACAAAAAAAGAAATACTGTTTTTCAAAAGATTGAAAGCATACTGATAACAAAACAAGAAAATTGCTATTTTTTCAATAGACTGAAAGTATACTGATGAAAATGAAAGGAAAGGATATTTGTTTTCTTTTCTCTCCCCACCTTGGGGTTGAGACACTGATGACAGCTAGCATAGAAGCCATCTGTTTTTGCTCAAATTAATATTAAGTGATGGTATTTTCTTAAGTGTCCAATCAACCACACACAGAAGAATAAATTATATTTTAACCACCTCAAGTGCTGACGAGGGAACAAGATAAAGCATCAGTGGGGCACTCATTGAACAAAGTGGGTAAAGGGAAGGCCACCCATGAAGGCTAACAGCAAGTCTCTAGACAAAATTTGGTCAGTTGATAAGACTTGGATTTTAAGACCAACATGTTTCCAAAGAAAAACAGGAATGGAATTGTAGTTATATTTCTTTTTCATCTGCCTAAGACGCAATAAAATTTATTGAAACAAAGGAATTGTTTCTTTTTGTCACTTGTTGACCAAAGAGCTGGCAAGAGGAAATGACAGGTGACAAATCCCAGATGCAACTGACCCCACAAGGACACGATAAGAATTCCCCACTGGCAGAAATTTTGGATGATAATTGAAATTAGCAATTTTGGGCTGGGAACAGGTTTGATCAGAAGACAAAGAGAGAGGTAAAAATTTATTTTCATATTTATTTCTTCATAAATTGGTGAATGATAAACATGTATTGTATTAGTTGGTTTTCATTTTGAGAATGTGTAAACAAAATTATTTTTATAAATAGGCAATCTAATAAATAAATAGTGTTTAATCTTTTTGTTGTAAATTCTCAAAGAACAAAGAAAATGTATAAATTCACTTTCATATGTTTCAATTTTATTCAAATTCTAATTATTGATTTTTAAAACAATTAACATTGCCAAGTGAGTAAAGATAGTACAAAATAATAGCAGTGTCAAAGGAAAGACTTTTGACAAACCATCTTATTGCAGGCATGAAGGTTAAACTTTGCTGAATCTTCTATGGGCCATGTAGCTTTTATTACAGTATATTGTTATAATGATTGCCTCATTATTAGTTATTGCTATTAATCTCTTTTAATGGACCTAATGTATAAATTGAACTTTATCATAAATATGTATGTTTTGAAAGAAATATAAAATTTGGTAGTATGGTTTCAAGCATCCACTGGGGAGAATCTTAAATAAGGAGGGGGTCAACAAAATATATAAATCTTATGTTTGGCAAAAATAGAATTTCCAAATATTTTGCTAGTTAATCTACAAATGCTTTTTTTACTGTTGGCAAAGATTAAATTGATATTTGTTTTTAGAAAAAAATAATAATTTGAAGAAAATCGATTATTTATTGATTATTTGATTCATTGATTGATGGCTTATCAACCCATTGCAAGTTATTTAAAGCCATAAAATATTTTTAGATGGTAAGAATTTTTTTTTTGAGATAATAATTCTGAGCCATTACCCATTACATCAGCCACATGTCCAAGTTTACAGAACCTGGTATTCTCAAGTGGTCACTCATCTAGGTAATGACCAGGCTTGACATAGCTTAACTTCAGTGAGTGTATGGGAACTGGTGTTTCAATGTAATATGGCCGTAAGTTGTGCTGATTATTATGCATCTAAAGATTTACACAAAGTTGAGTGGTTATCAGCATTGTAGAGGACTGGGTGGCTTTGAATGTTGTTGTATTAGAAACATGTGTGTAACTCCTGGTAGAATATTTAAATGGTCCAACTACAAAAAAATTGTTAAGTCCAACTGAAGATGTAAAGAAGACAAACAAAACCGATATATATATATAAACAAATATATGTATTAAACAAAACAATTTTACAATGGACATAGACAATAATATTTGTGTGTCTGTGAACATTTGTGTGTCTGTGAACATTTGTGTCTGTTCTTTGGTGAATGTTCGTACATACATGTATGTGTGTATAATGTTCATGGTGTCTCCCACAAATGGGAAGACGCGGATCTTCTAAGAGAGCTTACATTGTAGTTGCTGAAATGAAGAAATGGAAAAGAGAACGAGGTGAGAAGTTGCCTAGTATTTATAGTATAGGGAGAATGACCTCTAGTGACAATTTGGGAATTAAAGAGGAGCTAACTCCGACAGCATGAAATCTGGGATTAACATGCTGGGCTCAAATTTTAGATGAGACTGTTGCATTCACTTTTACACAAATTGCCATGGAAGGAATTCATCTCTTCTACACCCAGCTAAAGGTTAATAGCAGGACAGATTGGGCTCTCTAGTTTTGATTGGTAACCAGTCTAGGAGAAAGAAAACTTTGAATTCAAAACCAGTTGGACATGGAGTTTGTAACTCCACCCTGCAAAAACCTCCTTGCTACAGAAACCACAGTAACACCACCTCTGGTGAGGCTTTGGCTCTATACTCTACAGGGGAATTTACAGAACTTACTTAACACACACACACACACACATACATACATACATATATATATATATATATATATATATATATATATATATATATATATATAATAAATGTGAATGTCAGTGTTTTGCAGTGTCACACTTTTTCAACTTTACTTCTAGAGGCCGTAGCCTAACATATCATACCATTTTGGAATCAGGCTGACTCTCTGAGTAAATTAATTACATTCTTGGCCAGATCCGGACCCACAATCCTTTTTCTTTTTTTTAATCAATTCACCCCAAGCAAGGTGGTAATACCACTAAGATGCAAGGTTATTTGAAGTGAAAGAGAATGAAAAAAACTTTAATAGGATACCCAATCTTAAATAGGAAACAAGGGATCTCTAATATTTAAAAGACTGGGAAGGAGTGTGAACCGGATGATAGGTGAACCTATCTAGTGTTATTGAGGAGAATAAATATTAAATTTACATTTCATTATTTAGACAGAAACATTAGAAGTATAGTGTTGAATAAGACTTTAGAAGAAACCAGAAACCCAATCTAAAACAGGAAACAAGGGATAAACATCTACACCTGTTCAAAAATCCAGGAAGGAGTGCGAACCAGATGATAGATAAACCTATTTACTCCTATTACTTTCCACAATATGATCATTAGAATGAAAGTTTTGAAACTCTGCCCATGATAGCATGGATTATATAAACAGTTAATTTTCCCTGAAAAAATAAAAATGAGAAAAAACAGTCAATATTTACTTCATACCATGGTTATAAGCAGGCAGGACCTCTCCATTACAAAAAGATTGGTATAACACTGTTTTCCATTGTATATTTCTCTTTATTTGACCTTCTGATGGACTCAGATAAACTTAATAAATGTCAATATCTAGATTGTTTGCTGTAGCAGAATAGTTAACAATTTCAAATTGCAAACCTTCCATGAGTAGAGTATATTTGGACTTGTTGCAGATGCCATTACAATTATATACAATGTGGGTTCACTTCTAATAACAGACCACAACAAAAGAAACATGAAATTAAAATAACATGAAATATCAAATATATATATCCCTAATAATTAAAGATATTTATTCAATTGGTGC